AAGAACTCGGAGATCGACAGTCGGAAAGTTTGGAAAAAGTTCGCCAGCTACTGCCGTTGCCCAAGCAAACCCGTGATGTCATCACCTGTGAACCTCAGGGGTCGCTCATAGACACAAAGGGCAACAAGATCGCCGGATTTGAGAAAGAGGTAAAGCAGCTTCACCAATACTTCATGTTGTTTACTATAATGCAACTTTACGCATAGGGAATGTGTTTAAATACGGGAAGTGCCATCTTTTATCACAACCTAAATTGAGGTCAGAATATTATGTACATGTTGAATGAACCACACTGTTGTATCTTTGTCCCATCAGGGCCTTCAAGTATCAACCAAACAGAAAATTTCTCCATGGGACGTTTTTGAGGGTCTCAAACATTCCGCCCCTCTTTCTTGGGGCTGGTTCGGTACTGTGCGTGTGGACCGCAAGGTCACCAAATTTGAGGAGCAGCAGCGTTTCCTGCTCTACCACACCCACCTGAAGCCCAAACCTCGCAGCTATTACTTGGAGCCGCTCCCCCTGCCCCCTGAAGAGGAGGAGCCGCTGACACCTGTCTCCCAGGAGCCAGAGAAGAAGATGATGGAGGCAGTGAAGCCAGAGAAGAATGTGCCCGCTGTGCCGCCTGACTCGAACAAGAAGAAATCCAACAAGAAGAAGAAAACTCCCTCTGCCAAGACTGAGGTCAGTTATGTCTGCTGTTAATGATGCTAGAATAATATGGTTTTACTGACAGGCACTCGTGATATTTTTGTTTCCTCTCTAAAATTACACTGTCTTCTATTTCTGACCAGGACTATGTGAACCGCACACAAGGTGGTGTGAGCTATGGGACTAACATGCCACCTGAGCTGATGCAGAACCACCCATATGGCAGGCTGCAGTACAGTCAGCAGGCCATGAGCATGTACACACAAAACCAGCCTCTACCTCCAGGTCAGCATCCAGCGTATATATTATATAGGTTCAAAAGAACATCATCTTAAATACCATTTCAGATTGTGATTGACATAATATTTCTTCCTCCACAGGAGGTCCTGGGTTAGAGCCTCCGTACAGACCTGCCCGCAACCCACCAATGAACAAAATGATGCAAGCTCGGCCCAGCTACCCAGGCATGATGCCCAGCATGCAGGGGAGCATGCCCGGCATGATGGGACTGGACAAGCAATACCAAATGGGCTATAAGCCCCAGCCTAGCATGCCGCAGAGCCAGATACTGCGCCAGCAGCTACAGGTCAGACTGGTGAGTCAGTCAGTCTACGGATCAAAAAACTGAGTAGAGTTAAACAAACTAGTTTGAGTGTATTTGAGTCAGGGTTATGGGGTTATAAGGTGCCATTGGATTATGGGGGATAAAAACGTCCCTTTAGTTCCTGAAAATTTAACTCAGGATTTTAAAATGTCTGGATATGTGTCTAATAGACTTTCTGCAGCGTAACTGTTTATACCTGTTTTACTTTTACTAATGGTGTCGCTTTAATTAGAGATATTTATACTTAAACTCTAAATTTGTCTTCCAATCCTGGGGACTGGTGTATGTGAAGGGATGGTGTTAACCAAGTGGAAAAGGTTATTATAACCTGTATAAAAACAGTCACAGCATGGTGGGCTAGTCATTTAGCATTTATTTTTGTCCATCGTATTTGTATTTCTGCCTTTATGTGAAGATTTAAGATCATTGAATTAGCTGGAAAACAGTCATTTAGGCTGAAAAATGAACCACATGTCTACGTTAAAATCACCAAACCTCCAGAAGAGAAATGAATCCTGGTTTGAGACAATAATGAATGTTGTAAGTGAAAAGGAGAGAGGGCATTGAATTTTTGTGTTGTTTTCTGTCCATTCAGAATCAGAGCATGATCGGGCAGCAGATGAGACAGATAACACCCAACCAACCATACACTCCAATGCAGGCATCTCAGGTAAGTGTTTCTGTTCTTCTTATGTGACATTACACCTCGGAGCTCAGCCCTCGGAGTGACATCACACCTGAAAAACCCGAGTTGATAGTGGATGCAGATGAACAAAGTTTACGTTCACCAGCTCGCCATTGTCAGTAAAAACAGTTCAAGATAACGCATTACGAGGTATTTCTCACATACTAACGCTGCAGTAAAACGTCCACCAACAGTAATTGGACAGTACTATGTGTACGACTCTTTTAATGACAGAAGTGCTAATAAACAGTAAAAACTACAGCTTTCATTACTGTTCATATACGGAGGGGCCATCTTGGATTTCTGACTTTTTTTTATTTTTATAAATGATGTCAGCCAGTCAGCAATGGTTTTGTTCTGTCTCAGTTTTAATAATCAGTATGTCTCTGTCTGTTTAGAACATATCTCAGGGCTATACCACATACGGATCACACATTGGGATGCAGCCGCATCCGCCCCAAGGTGGTGGTATAGTTCCCTCCTCCTATGGGAACCAAAACTTCCAGGGGACTCATCCTGGAGCCAACCCGGCTGTGGTGGATCCTCTGAGGCAAATGCAGCAGAGGCCCAGTGGCTATGTTCACCAGCAGGCTCCAGGCTATGCACACAGTATGCAGAACACACAGAGGTCAGTCAAGTGTTGGAAGGAAGCATGCAGCTTTATTCCAGTCCAGCTCCAGACACTTGAAATTATTCTCTTACTACATGGTTTTACGTTGTCGACTACTTTGCTGCATGTCCTCACATTTCTTCTCCCTGTCCTGTCCGCCTCAGGTTTGCCCACCAGCCCCTACAACAGAATCCCATCATGCACGGTCTCGGCCACATGGGGGGCCAGGGCGTCCATCTAGGCTTGAGGCCCAATCAGATGCTGGCAGAACAACAGCAGCAGCAACAACAGCAGCAACAAGCAGCACAGCAACAGCAGCAGCAGTACCTCAGACAACAAGCACTCAGAGTATGTCACCTAATGATCGTTATTTTGTACATGTCCTTAGCTGTGTTTTGGCTACATATATTCATTTTAGTGGATAAATTGCTTGGTGAAAAGGAGGCTGTTATTGTGCACTGCCTTTTCAATCTATTTACCCTGAAGCTACCTAAATTGTTTTTAAGATGTTTCTACCAAAATACAAGTGGACAGTAAATCAGTGTTCAGACACAGACACACATTTGAGAAGATGAGAGAACAGATTTTTTTTGTTTCAACATTTGAAGGCAGGCATAAATTCTGCTGTAGACTCTAGGTCTTCAATGTTGCCAAGCCAATTTTAATTTTAAATTCAGAGGCCATGAAACTTTACCTCTAATTTAAACACACTATATTTTTCAACAACAACAGCAGCAGCAGCAGCAACAGGCCCAACAAGTTCAACAACAACAACAACAACAACAACAGCAGCAACAACAACAACAACAGCAGCAACAGCAACAACAGCAGCAGGTTCAGCCACAGCAAGTTCCTCCTCAACAGCAGGTTCCACAACAACAACAACAACAGCAGCAGCAGCAGCAGCAGCAGCAGGTGTCGGCGGTGGCGCCACCAGGCCAGGCACAGAACCAGGGCCTGGGGATGCAGCCGCTGCCCCCACAGCAACCAATGGTAGGTTCCATCTAGGTGACGGGGACAGTATCATTAGTCCATTTACTGACAGTATGTGAAGGGAGACCTGGAGTCAGAGAGTTTGGCAGTTTGTAGCGTATAAGTATATGAAGATCTATCCACACAAGTTATTTATCTTTCTGTATTATTGAAGAAATAAGTAATGTATGTTTTGCATTCGAGTATCATGCTCATTTTTTTTTTTATGGTGCAGCTGATTAACAACAAATGTTTCTCCAGTGCTGTGTGGCCAGTCTGAGTTTATTTTGCCGAGGGAGCTAGTTTGTTTTTATTTTAAGACTTTATACGGCTTTTCCCTCCAAACAGTCAATTTGGAGGGACTTTAAAGTTTAACAAGAATGCACAGTCAGATATTTTTTATTTTTCCCTCACTTACATTGGGACTGTTTTGCTGTGCCTGCACTCTAGACTTTTGGAATCCCAGAAACCTAAAGTTAACTTTGAAACAGCTACTTCAACATTATTTAGATTTTTATGCTTCCATCTGTTTGTCTGTCCCATTCTTGTGAATTTGATATTTTAAGAACACCTTGATGGACTGAAAATTTGGTACTAATGTTGAATTGGACTCAAAGATAAACTGATTAGATTTTCATCAGGAATTAAATAATAATTAATTCTTAATGGAATTAAATGTGCAACAGTAAGGTCGTATAGAAATCCTTCGTTATGCCCCTGCTAACACCGATTCTCTGTTTTAGTTCCCCCGACAGGGAATGCAGCAGACTCAACAGCAGCAGCAGACCGCAGCTCTGGTCAGGCAGCTGCAACAGCAACTTTCAAGTAAGTCAGAAGCTTCTGCAGAGTTTATTTTCCCATTCATGTGTGAAGATGTGAATAATGAAACATTCCCTCTCTTTTCAGATACACAACCAGGACAAGGCACCAACCCATATTACTGATAGTGCAGTGAACTGTCCCTGTGAGGAGGCTGAGCTCTGCAGAGCGTGTCCATTCCTGTCTGGGTTCTTTGGAGGGAGCGAGGCACAACAACCAAACAAATGAACCAAACCCCATCTCGACCACTGAGGCGACGATCCGTCATGTAATGGATTTTCAGAGGAGGGATCCTGCTGTGACATCAACAGATAACAGTTAATAATGGAGAAGTCTATGTAAAAAATTACCAGAAATTATAAGAATAATACAATTTTTTTATTTTATTTCAATTTGTACAATTTTTTCAGTTTCGTGTATTTCTCATTAAAAACTCATGTCAGTTTTTTATGTCTTGTGCTTGTGTTTGCTGCATGTAAAACTCTTAATGATGACAGGAGTGGGGTCAAAGGATTTAAAGGCTGCTGTTGATCGAACAACAATCCTAATGCTTAATTATATTTGCTTTTTGAGTAATTTTTGACATCTTTCATTTAAATTAATTTGTTGAAACAGCAAATTAACATAATGAACATTTGACTTGCCAGTTCTGGGATGAAAATAATCAATAGATGTGATTCTGAAAAGTGAAGCCAGCGATATACACTATTTTCTTTAACAAGGTAACTGGAGACTTCAGGTATTTTTTCCTCAGACTGATCACTGTAGAGGTGAACAACTGCCAAAATGTAATGGGTTCTTGTCCCATCCCTCCATCAGGTTTAGTGATAATCTGTTCTGTAGTTTCCGTGTAATCCTGCAGACAAACCAATGGACAGGAATGAAAACGACCTCCTTGGCAGACGTAGTGAGGAGGATGTTTATAAAGCACAATCAACACCTGACAGATGAAAGCAAGTAACAGCTTAAAGTGACAAACAGGGTTTTTTTTTTTTTTTACTGAATCAGTCGACAGGGAAACTCATTTTAATTTTGCTGCCTTTTTTGCTTTTTTGGGTTCATGTTTATCTACATTTGGATTTTCCAAGCGACTAAACAACACTCCTGAGTCAGATCCCAGCGCTCTGCCTTCGAAGGGACAGTCTGTTCCCTGAAACCTTGGCAAGAAGTTCAGAGCGGCCCAGCTCCTCTCGCCTGGTTCCACACCGAGTCTGGACAGGAGTTTGTTAGAAATCTCTGGCATGACAGGCTGCAGGAGGGTGCCATAAATCCTCAGGCATTCGAGGGAGACGTGGATGATGGTGTCTCGCCAGCGCTGCTCTTTACTGTCCCTCTTGTCCAGCTTCCACGGTGCGTGGCGCTGGACGAACCCGTTGGTCTGCCTCACGCAAGCAGAGATGGCCTCCAGTGCTTTGTACGTGTGCATGCTCTCGTAGTGCTGCTCCACCACAGAGGGGAGGTTTTTCACTGCATCCAACATGTGGTAGTCTTCAGCCACGGCTCTGCCTCCCTGTTCTCTTGGGAAGGACTGAGGACAGAACGAAGGGTAGACCTGAGCTGGGTTAAGAACCGGAGCTGTGCAGCGGTTGAGCAGACCCCCCAGAGAGTCGGCGAGCTCTGCGTTGAGCAGCTTGAATACTTTGAGATCGGTGTAATCGCAGTCTGACTCTGGGACACCCTGACGCAGGAGAAAGTACCTCATGCCATCGGCTGTGAACATCTGTGAGCGTTGGAGAGGATCTACCACGTTACCCAAACTTTTAGACATCTTCTTTCCTTCTGCTGTCCAGTGAGAGTGCACGTGTATGGTCTGTGGCAGCGGCAGTCCAGCACCAAGAAGGAAAGCTGGCCAGTAGACGGCATGAAATTTTAAGATATCCTTTCCTACTATGTGGTGGACCACGTTCCACCACTGATGGTGTTTATCTGGATAGCCAGCTACTGTGAGGTAGTTCACCAGAGCGTCCAGCCACACGTAGATGGTTTGCTCAGGGTCACCGGGGACCGAGATGCCCCACTGCAGACGGCTGCTCTGACGGGACACTGAGAGGTCAGGAAGGTCGTGCTGCAGCCACTGGAGGGCGAGCTGGTGGAAACATTCAGGCTGCACAGCCCGGGGATTTCCTTGGAGCCAGTCGAGCAGTTGAGACCGAAACGCAGACAGACGGAACATGTAGTTCTCTTCTTTCATCCACTCCACCTGCAAAACAGGGAAATGTAGATTTGTCATAATTGTGTTGAGGGAGTAAAACTGAAGGTGTGGAGGTGACTTCTGCTCATCTCTTCATCTAGTACTTTTTGTCACAAGTAAACTGATCATAATACGTAAAATAAATCTTCACTGATATTACACATAAATGATCTCGCTCGACGTACCTTGTGTCCACTCTCCAGTGACACTTTAATCTGGTTTCCTAATGAGTCCATGGCATCGCCCAGCTGCGACGGCGTGAGGAAGCTTTCATCCTGTGTGGAGTACCAGCCTTCGTAATGTCCTTTATAGATGAGCCCTTTGTTCCAGAGCACCGACCAGAAATGCTCCACGGCCTGACGGTGTCTCTGCTCTGTGGTTCTTATGTAGTCTGTGTACGAAATGTTGCAGCTGCTGAAGAGATGTTTGAATCTCTCTGACACGTCGGTGCAGAAGGTCAGGGGATCTTTTCCTGCAGCTTCAGCAGCTTGTTGGATTTTCAAACCATGTTCATCTGTGCCTGATATGCACAGAAACAGAATTAGAGGTCAGGTTTGTTAAATGGCCACAGAGTCGATGATTATCATCGTAAATGTAACATTATTATCAGAATTATTAATCAGTTTGATCAAGTATCCTGATAAACAAAAAAACATTTTACAAACTTGAGGCTGATTAATAATTTGTAATCCCTCCCCACTGTGTTTGAATCCCAGAATCCAAACTTTTAGGGGGGTTTAATTAACTTATATCACACCAGCCGGCTGAATCCAATGATATTCCACGAAACAATAAGCCCTTTTAAATTTGATTTTTTTACACTATACATTAGGTCTGTGGGGAAAATCATGGGGGTACAGCAGGCAGGGTCAAAGGGCCTGTGTGTTCTCTCTCTCTCCCTCCCAGGTGCTGCTGCTGATGATGATGATGATGATGGCTGCCACCTGCGTAGATTGAGCTGCTGCCTTGGATAAGCTCATTGGTTCCCCCTATCCCCCATCAGCCTATTGCAGCACAGGGCTCCAGAATAAAGAGAGCAAGCCCTCAGAGTTCAGGGTTTCATTTTGACTCGGTCTCAGATCTGCTGTGTTGCTGTTTTGTATTGAGAGTATTTGTATCGTTGGTGGTGGGAGGATTTAGTTTGGACATTAGATTAGTCAGGGTTCTCTGAACACATGTGCATGCAGTCACTTGTATAGACACACTAGAGTTATTGGTCGGTGTCACCAGTGTATTTGGAGAGCTGCTTCTTTAGATAAGTTAATCAGGCATTTTGGTTGTTTTATTTTAAGAATAGATGAGGCCAGTTCCTGTGACACCAACCACCTTCGTTATGTCATTTTAATTACGTGCTTGAGCTGTGATGAATCTATGGCAGCTGCTACACGTGATCCTGTATGTCAGTGTATGTGATGAGTTTGAAATGTAGTTAAATTGCCTCTCTGGGGGATTTATCTAAATCTAATAAAAGCCCTTACACAAGATACTTACACACCTCAACTCCAAGATCGTGGTCATCATATGCACATGTAGAACTTAGCTAAAGGGTGATTTACCTGTTGCAAACTTTGAGTTGAAGCCCTGCAGCAGCTTGTACCTGTGCAGACAGTCCGCCATCACCGCTGAGTGCAGGTGTCCCAGGTGAGGAGACGCGTTCACGTAGAAGATGGGGGTGGTGATGTAATGGCTCCTGACATCTTTGCGCTCCTGACTCGACCCAGCGACGCTCCCGTGTCTCCACAGAGCGGAAGCAGGCGATAGAAACGAGCTTTGCTTCAGTCTGTGAACGACTTTACAGCTTCTGCTAACAGTGACGACGGGAAACCGCATCGTTGGAGAACAGGTGACGCTCACATGAAGCCGAGAAACCCAGGCGGACCTGCTAAGTGCTAGCCATTCGTGTTGCTAACTTCAAGATTTAGCTTTCGCGGGAGACCAAGACAAGCGAAGGAAGCGGCACAGCTACTGGAAAGTGGCCGCTCTCCTCATCTCAGTGTTTTAGATTAAAATGAAACCAAGCCGCACGTGTGTTTGTGTTAGCTTGTCAAGGTTAGCGCTACTTCCGGTTAGTCTGAGCATCAACAATGGCTCGTCCAATCAAAACCGCTGCAGAGTGTGCGGAGGAAGTCCAGCCACCAATCAGAGCGCGAGGACCTCCTCTTGCTTTTTCACAGAAAACTTTATCGAGTTTTTTTAAAACAAGTAAAGAAGCAGTAGTTTCAGTTCCTTTAAGTATTTTCTACTGTATTTATACTTTATAAGGACAGAGGGGTGATACAGAACATGTTTCAGATCAGTGTTAACATCCATGTCTGTGAAGTTCTGTGATGAATGGAGTTTGGTCAAATAACTAATCTGAGAAATCTCTCAAATCACTCAAATGTTTTTGCAATTAGAGGTGAAGTGGTGATTTTCCACAAACTGGTCAACAGGAAAGATGATTTGTTAGCCAGTAATAAATATATTTTACTTAACTAAATGATATGATTATAATTCAAAAGGGTAATTATATTCACATCTGAGAAGCCAACACCATCGGGGCCCCTAGGCTTTGGAACGAATTGCCTATTGACCTCGACGTCAGTGACTTCTTTCCAATCGCTTTTTTAAAAACAGTTTTATAGACTAGCTTTCATGCAATTTTGGTTTTTACTGCATTTCTATCGTTTTTCTTTTCAACTTCACATATTTTACTTTTTTTCATCATTTTACTGCTTAAATGTGTTTTTAAGTGTTCAGCTCTTTATTCATTCATTTAATTGGAGCACTAACCACCTACAGGTGCTTGTCTGGCCTCATGGTCACATCCTGCTAATATTTATTTCATTTATATTTACCTTTCTTGGTTTGCTGAGTACTTTGCAAACTCTGTTTTAAAAACGTGCTATAGAAATAAAGTTTACATTTGTTATTATTATTATTATTTTTATTTTATCCGGTCATGGCCTTATGGTCTCATGAGTAGATCTCCTCCTCCTCCTCCTCCTTCCTCCTCCCTCCTCCTCGCTCCTCCCCCCCTGAGGTGACCGCTCAGCCAATCAGCGGCTTCACTTCCTGCTCCTCAGCCAACGACGACGAATGTGGTTGACTTGACAACGGAGATAAAAAAAACATTTTTACTAACTTTTGCGTAAAGTCGAAACTATTAAAATCCTCTCAAACTCCACCGGAGCACAGGGGTCGCTGGTCCCGGCGGTCCTCGGTCCGTGTCGCCTGTAGAAGCTGTGTTCGCTCTGGGAGCAGCTGATCCGTCATGTGATGGTGAACATGAGTTGTTGAAAAGTTCTCGTCAACACTTTCCTCGGGTGGAGTTCGGTCATTCGTGCAGCGTGAGTTCGTCCCCGTGGAGAGATGGAGGTGAACCGTCTGGACTTCTACATCGGTCTGTCTCTGGCTCTGAGCTCCAGCGCGTTTATCGGTTCGAGTTTCATCCTGAAGAAGAAGGGCCTCCTGAGACTGGCCAGCAAGGGCTCGATGAGAGCAGGTACCGTTCACTTTCATTTAGTCTTCAAATAACACTGCTGGAGAAAAACACATCTTAAGACTTGACATATTTGTACAGTTTACTTTATTACACTGTTAATAAAGTTTATTAAAAGTAAGCCATAACGAGATGAGGCTAAAATGAATAACTGGGTCTTTAAAAGTTATTTTAAAGAACACAGATGGTAGATGTTGTGCTTCTTACTTAGTACTTTCACTTTTAAAGCTAAAACTTCAGTACTTCATTCTACTTTTGAATGCACTGCAGTATTTGATGGTATTATATGTCAAGTCTTAGCCAAATCCTCTCCATTGCCACCTGGTGGCTGGTTGTAGTATAGGTCATAATGCCTGCCTCCTCCATGTAAACGGATGAGACATGGGTCACAATTAAAAGGCCAAATTCCATGGTAAATATATATATATATTTTAAATGGTTCCTTTCATTTTAGGTAGCTGTTATTAGTATTAGTATAAATTAGTTATAAAATCGGCACCATTCATCTTTATATACAGTCTATGGGCCGAGTGTACTGTCTAGATGACAGATTCTTTGAACCACAATTATGAAATGTCATTTCGTAACATGTTACTTAAGATCTTTTCTTTTATATGAATTACATTTAACATGTTTCATTAACATGATTTTATTTTTTCCAATATTGTACATAGAGTACTTTGAGCTGCATTTCTTGTGTGAAAGGTGCCGTAAAAATAAAAACTGCGACTAGTTAATTTAAGTTGTCTTTAACTGTAACATCGGCCCTGTGCTATAAAAAGGGTGTGCAATATGTCAGTGCAATATGTTGTCATTGTCATTGTGGGCAGATGTGTACATGTGAACTGTGGCATGTGTATGGAAGTACTATTGGCCAATGTGTAAGATCTTTTATTTATTTCATGTGAAACTGCAGGTTGGACAGTGCCCAAAGGTCATGGGGACAATAGAGTTTCTTATTTTATTTACTGTATCTTATTTTTATTTCGGTTTTCTTGTCTGTATCTTGCAGGTCAAGGGGGTTATGCGTACCTGAAGGAATGGCTATGGTGGGCCGGACTTATTTCAAGTAAGTGAATGATTCACACTCACACACATATAATTCTGCAGTTTGAATAGTTGACACGGTTTATCTTGATTAGTTACACTGCTCTAACCCTAACCAGCCTTGCCCGGAAACATTGTGACCTTTGTTTTTTCAAAAGGAAAATGAGCCTCTTGTGGGTTTGGTATTTTTGCTGGTGATGTTGCAGTAGGTCTGGCTCCCACACAGTAGCATTGAACTACACATTCCTCTAAAAGAACTAATTTGCACATGTGGGCTGGAAGAGAATATTTCCAACAGCTGCAGCAGCTCTGACTTTGTGCACGCTGATGTTGATGTTGATGTGTTCTAGTGGGAGCTGGAGAGGCGGCTAACTTCGCTGCATATGCATTTGCACCTGCCACACTGGTGACGCCTCTTGGAGCATTGAGCGTTCTTGTGAGGTAATTGTCTTAAAGTTTGATTGTTATACCTCTGATGCTGCTTCTCACGATCATAGATTGTATTTAAAGATGGACGTGTCTCCACTTCCTGCCACACTTCAGAAATGAAGAAATAAAGCCACAGTTGCAGAGTGTCGCTGATACACATGCTCAACTAATACATGAGTCAGTCTCAGCTGTCAATCATGATGTTGCAACATATAACTGACAAACTGACCTGAAAATGTTGCATTTGAACTTACATCGGTTTAATTAAGAACTAGAAACTACCTAAAATGACAGAAACCATCTTTGAGAAAAATGTATTTGACATTTTAATTTGGCCCATGTCCCACCCACAGACATGGAGAAGGAGGAATTAATGACCTATACTGCAGCCAAACACTAGGTGGCGATCAAGGCACTTTGGCTTCACTTCAAGGGAGCAGTCATAGCATCCATCTTAATGTAGTCTATGATTGTTGTTGTCTGTCAGTGTGATGCAGAAATGGGATTTGGACACAGCCCTCTCAATACCTTAAACTACCAACGAATCCAATGGAAAGACCGAAAGTTATGATTTTATGTTTTATTAGTAAAAACATTTTCTTTTTAATTCATCTTGTGACAAGTCGTCACATTTACTTTGTAGAAAAGCAGAGAGGACATAAGGGGGTGGAAAGATCTGCCAAATACTATCATGGTGTCCCTCTCTGTCTTTAACAGTCTCTCTTCCAAATCAGAGTATCAAATCACATGAGCGGAGCGGCAGAGCTCGAGTTAACCTCCTACTTGCATCGCTCCATAAATCTGAGCTATCAACAAAAGCTCTATTATGTATTTGGTTACGATGACATTTGAGGTTGTCAGACAGAAACGCCCAAGCCAGTGTTTTCAGATTTACACATTCTGGAGGCCATTTTGGAAAAGTTCGATTTTACAGAGAGAAATTGTTTTAGTTTGGAAAGATAATTAACAGAGATAAAAAAAAAAAGATCTGATCACAAATTCAAGATTTACCTCATTAAGAGCCACTGATTGGCTGGTGAATAAAATACCACTTATATTTGTTGATGGTGATAATAGTAAAAACACCCTGTAAGTAGTACTATGACCATTTGTGCTATGTTCTCTTCTTTTCAGTGCTGTGCTCTCCACGTACTTCCTGAACGAGCGGCTGAATGTGCACGGGAAGGTTGGTTGTCTGCTGTGCGTCTTGGGCTCCACTGTGATGGTGATCCACGCCCCGCAGGAGGAGGAGGTTGTTTCCCTCACTTCCATGGCAGAGAAGCTCAAAGACCCAGGTAGAGACCGACCTCGAGCAGCCTGAATGTACTTAATCGTGATCTGATTAAGAATGATGTGAAAACTAAATCCCTGATAACAGTTGGATGGATTCTCTCTTCTGGGTACTAACTCATTCCTTAACGCTCCCACTAGGTTTCATTGTGTTTGCTGTGTGCGTTGTGGGAAGCAGCCTGGTTCTTATCTTTGCTGTGGCCCCGCGGTACGGACAGAGGAATGTGCTGGTCTACATCCTGATCTGCTCTGTGATTGGCTCCCTCTCTGTGTCTTGTGTCAAGGGCCTGGGCATTGGCATTAAGGAGCTGTTTGCCGGGGTAGCAGTGCTGAAGGAACCCCTGTTCTGGTCCTTAATCATCTGCCTGATAATCTGTGTCAGCGTTCAAATCAGTTACCTGAACAAAGCCCTCGACATCTTCAACACCTCACTAGTCACGCCCATCTACTACGTCTTCTTCACCACGTCTGTCATGACCTGCTCAGCAATCCTGTTCAAGGAGTGGCTGAGTATGTCCACGGACGAAGTGGTGGGTACAATTAGCGGCTTCCTCACAATCATCTTAGGGATCTTCCTCCTCCACGCCTTCAAGGACATTACATTCAGCCTGGATTCCCTCCCACTGTTCCTGAGGAAGGGCTCTCAGGGTTTCCACAGGGCCACCAGCCGTTACCCGGCTCCAGCCACGACAGCCAAGCAGACGTTGTTATGAAGCTGCAGAGAGGAGGTACAAAAGCGGCACTGGGCCTACACCAGAGCTCCTTAACACTGTTGTCAATACTAAGAAATGTTGCTTTTTGCAATTCTAAAGCTTTAATGCACAACGTTTTACAATGTGAGTGACAAGTAGGTTACTAATTCTGAACTTCACGTCTGTCTTAAACAATGTATTGTGCACTGGGAGAAGAAATTTGCCTTAAAATGAACATAACTTTGCAGTCAACACACTGGAATCTATGTACAATGTATGTTCATGTCGTTCAGAGTGGTACATCCACATCTTTTTTCATTTAGCTATAATTTATTTATATATATGTTGCACTGCTGTGCACATTTTTTACAGTGTGTTAAGTGGCCTAAGCCACGTTGTGCCTTCTTACTGATAATTATAACATATTTCAAATTTTGCACTTTTAACCAAAATTATCAAAATATTGTATAAATCTGATTTATGTGAAAAAATCGTAATTTTCCGTGAATGTATTCAATCTGTGTGTGAATAATTCTTATGCGTTTCTGTTAATACCTCGTACAAATCGCACCAAAGAATGTTCTTTCCCTGTATGAATTCGCCAAACGAAACAGTATTTGTTGTGTTTTTTCACAGTGCTGATTAAAACATAACTACGACATGATTTGCCTGCATTTTTACAAAAGATTGACAAAAGTATTTTGTAATTTTGTTTATTGCATATGTACAGTCCAGAACCTTTAAGGTGTTGATCAAGCCTCTTGGTTCAAGACACCATGAGCTCCCTGTAATTACAACAGTGTGTGTACTCGTATCTTTGTGAGGACCATTTTGAATAAAGACCCTATGGAGTCTAAAGAGTTTAAAGTTAGGATTAGGTGTTTAGTTGTATTTCGCTTTAGTTAGAGTAGGGGGCTGGGAATGTATTATCCCAATGAGTGTCCTCACTAAGATAAAAGTACAAGGGTGTGTGTGTGTGTGTGTTGAAGTCCTTGTGGCTGTCCAATACAGTTGGTATGTTGAATGTCCCAGATGCGTCCATCTCTCAGCAGTCTCCTACACTCACAGCAGCAATAAATATTCACACGTTCAAGCTCAGTTTCACAGCCTAGCCAATGAAACAGCTCGAATTCATTGATTTGACTAAAACAAAAGTAAGGTCACTGTTAGCAACAGACCAGAATATGAGCATTTTGCAACACTCATATCTGACATGGAGGGAAAACAAAGCCCTACACTTCTGAATACACGGTGTTAATCACAGGCACTTGATTCAAACGTTACGCTGCATCTGGTTCCTTCCTGCATTCGATCGGACAGTTCTGCAACACTCAGACAGCTGTGTCAGGAGCAAACGGCCTCTTCACAGAGCAAAGGGCGGAGAATCTCACCAGTCAGTCAGACAGTTTTTAGTCCATCATGCTCTCGGAGAACGAGCCCCGGCTCCTCTGGGTCTGTTCCAGTCTGTTCAGGATGAACTGGCTCGTGTCAATAAATCGCCCCACACAGTTAACAAAGCATATTTCTGTCCTTGAGTCCAGCTTTGGCCCAGGTTTGTCCATGCACTTCTCCTGGAGACAGAAAGAACGAGGTCAAACACATCATACGTGGTATTAGGGCTAAAATTATTTTCTGTAAAACATCTGAAAATTGTGAAGAATATAATATGAAGCCCCAGGTGATGTTTTCAAATAGCTTTATGTGTTTTTGTCCAAACTCCAAAAGTTATTTCCCACAAGGTTAAATAAAAATATGACACATTTTCCACACTAGAGAAAAGCTGAAATCACATTTTAAGATAAGTTTTCTTTCAATCAACAAATTGATGAATGAACTAATGGTTTCAGCTCTAAACATTAGTACATCACATGTAGTGAGAAGGCTCCTCTGTTGAAGGAGTGAGAGATGTAACTCTTTCATTTCCTCTGTTTGTATTATCTTACGTTGCTTTTACAAGTTATCATGATGCCATTTATATTTTATGTAAAGCACTCAGAATTTCCTGGTTGTTGAAATGTGCTGTACAAATAAACTTGCCTTACACTACACTATACTACACTACATTACACTACACTATACTACACTATACTACATTACACTGCACTACATTACACTATACTACATTACACTAAACTACACTATACTACACTATCCTACACTACATTACACTATACTACATTACATTACACTATCCTACATTACATCACACTATCCTACACTACATTACACTACATTACACTATACTACATTACACTATACTACGCTACATTACACTATATTAAACTACATTACACTATACTGTACTACACTATACTACATTACACTATACTGCACTACATTACACTATACTGTACTACACCTTACTACACTATACTACATTACACTATACTGTACTACACCTTACTACACTATACTACATTACACTATACTGTACTACACCTTACTACACTATACTACATTACACTATACTGTACTACACTATACTACATTACGCTATATTACACTATACTACACCATACTATGCTACATTACACTACACTGTACTTCATTACACTATACTACACTACATTACACTATATTACACTACATTATAGTACAATACACTATGCTACACTGCACAATACTACATTATAGTACACTATACCACACTACGCTACACTACATTATACTACACTATACTTCACCTCACTACGCTACGCTACGCTACACTACATTATAGTACATTATAGTACATTATAGTACACTACTCTACACGGATCACAAGCAGGACTTACACGTGTCACTAATGAACACTTGTTATTTAGCAGAAACAAAGTGAGCTTGTGTCACAGACACATGAGTTAGCATCACATCGCTGAGCAGCTGTTAGCTTCAGGCTGAACTCACCCAGCAAACCTCCGTCATCTGATGAACCAGCTGCTGAAACCTCTGCTTCTGGGACTCGACCTCGATGAACTGTTGTAGCTGCGGGTCCGCTGTGCCTCCCTGTCCGTCCATAGTTCAGTGGAAACAGCTCAGAGGGACAATATGTGACCGAAGATAAAAACCTTCTGACTGTAATTCTGACCTTCACGTGTGTGGACGGCCGACAGGAAACAGGAAGTAGTTAAGCCAATCACAGAGCGCGTTCCTCTTACGTCGCTTGCCGCCGTACATACGCATTTCATACAAAACATTTGAAATGATAATGTATTATTATTTTATTGTTATAATTATTATTTGTTCATTTTTACTTTGTTTTACTGCGTGTTATTATTTTTATCTCCATTTTTGCAAAGCTTGTCGCTTTCAGTTCACATGTTTCAGTCATTTTGTATATTTGACTTTTATTTGCACAACACATCTGCTCTTACAAAGCTGCTGTCCACATGCAAAGCTGTCAACATCCTACAACAACAATACAATACAACACATATGATAGTTTTAATCCAACAACCTTCAACAAAATATACACATTTTAAATGTTGATCTACAGGACTGAACTTCTGCAATAAGAAAACTATTCTAATCAATGAGTTGTCATGACATTCCCATTACACATATTCACATTACTTTTTGTTGAGGTTTTTACATTCAGAGAATGAACTGGTTGTGTGTGTGTGTCTTGGTGTGAATTATTTGACATCTACTGGAGCTCATACAGCAAATCCTGAACAGTCAGTGCCAGCTCCTGAAAGTTGGGTCTCTCTTCAGGTTTCTGACAAAAAAAAAAAGGAAGCACAGTGAGATTAGTGTTCAGACAAAGATTTCGTATCCTCTCATCAGTCTTTGTAAACTCATTGTCATAATACATCCATGGAAGAAGTCCTCAGATCTTTTACTTAAGTAGCCACGCAGAAACAAAGCGTAACAAAGTACTAATACTCTATCACGAGTGAATCACCTGCTTTTCAAAATGTACTATGTTAAAAGAATAGAAGCTTATGCATCAAGTAAAGTCTCAGACGTAAAGGAAGTAATTATGGTTGGCAAATTAAAGCATGAAAAAAAATCTTAATTTATATAGCCCTAAAACAAACAGTAAGAATGACCGCCCATTACAAGACTTTGGTCAAATCAGTGAATGCAGTATGATAAAGGTACATTTTAAGCTTTGATTTACAGGAAGCTACTGACTCAGCCTGCAGTATTTCCTCGAGCAGGGTGTTCCAGAGCCTCGGATTTGAAAGTGAGAGCAGGGTTGTATGAGGATAAAAGATCTAAAATATACGATCATTCTCAGGCTGCTCTTGGAAAAGAGATCTTGGCCTGATTAGATAAAGATTCAATAATGATAACGATAATGTAGTGGAGTAGGAAGAACAATATTTGCCTCCACAATGTTGTGGAGTAGAAGTAGAAACAACATTAATTACATTAATTTACTGATATAAAGTATAAGTACCTTGATACTTGAAAACACTGTGTTTGTGAGTAAAGGACTTTTTTTTATTTTTACCTCTATTCACAATAAAATACTAAAGTTACTTACTTCAGCCCAACAGCTTGTCATGATGCTGTGGACCTTTACATTGGCCAGCTGGGGGCGGTAGAGACGCAGACCCCGCGACACCTGATCCACTATTTCTGTGTTGTTTAGACGTTCGTATGGAAGTTGACCCAAAGTGTAAATCTCCCACATCAGAACCCCTGAGTGAGAGACGATTCATGTGATGAGAAAAAAGTGATGATGCCTGAAGTTTGTTAAGACATTTAAACTTAAGGTACATTTATTATTGACCAGAAATGCAATAGGAACTGAAAATGTATATGTCATGTACATTTACACACCATATGCCCAGATGTCTGACTTGCTGCTGAATTTGCAGTAGAGGAGAACTTCAGGAGGTGACCAGCGGACAGGGAACTTGGAGCCTGCTGAACTCGTGTACTCGTCGTCCAAGACGTACCTGAAGCAGAGGAGGGAGGACTTTAACTTAAAGTGCGAATGTACAAATACCACAATGTAAAAACAACTAAAGTTTCACATTTGACAAAATTAAAATCAGTAAAGAAGAGTCGACAAATTAAAGGATCAATAGACAAAGTACATGCTGTGTAGTGTGTTACATTGTGGTGGTTGGTTGAGGTGAAGCTAAATTGATTTACTTTATATGTTGTGATTGTGTTTTGGTTGATTAGCAGTGGTTAGTACTGTCGCCTCACAGCGAGTAGGTTCTTAGTTCAAATCCCAGTTGTCCTGAAGTCTTTCTGTGTGGATGTTCTCCCCGTGTTTGCATGGTTTCTCTCCCACAGTCCAAAGACATGCAGACTCAGGTTTAATCAAAGACTCAGAGTCTCTCCTTTGTCCCTCTTCTCCACCCACCCACCTTTCCTGTCTCCCCCATTTATTCTCCACTCACTCCAACCAGTGGAAGCAGATGGCCGCCCACATTGAGTCTGCTAGAGGTTTCTTCAAGTAAGTCCAGAGTCACTACAGTGACTGCACATAGTGTACATGTGTAGCACAGGGGTTTTATATGTTATTGAAGACAGATGTACTTTTACATCCTGTATTTTACCTTGACAGTCCAAAGTCAGTCACTTTGATTGTACCATTGGCATCTACTAAACAGTTCCTGGCAGCCTGCAAATAAAACACACATCACTTTTTGTTCAATCATTAAACTTGTCCCCTTATCTTTAAACACAGGAGCCCACAGTATCGCAACATGACGCAGTGATGTAGGAATGATATGTTCTGTTGCACAGAAGATCTTTGTCTCTCACCAGGTCTCTGTGGATGTACTGATTTGACTCGAGGTAGGCCATTCCCTCTGAGACGTCCTTACACATCTCCAGCAGCTGGACGGCTGTGGGGTGCTGCTTCAGACCCTCCCTGAGGTACGTCAGCAGGCAGCCGTTGGACAGGAACTCGGTCACTATGTAAATGGGTCTTTGTTTGGTGCAGACGCCGTAGAGCTGGACCAGGTTTTCATGGTTAAGCTTCCTGGTTTGTACAAAAAGGAGAAGGAAGTTCAGTATCATGAGTTGGTTTTCCTCACAGAAGTTACAGAAGTGACACATCAGTATGTTTAAGTTTTGGGCGTAAAATAAACACAGAGTTTAGATTTTTGAACGGTCCAACATGATGGTGAGCTCAGTCCAGATTAGGACTTGTTAGTTTTCTTACATCATGGTTTTAGCCTCTTCGATGAAATCATCTTCACACATGGATCCCTCTTTAATCATCTTAATGGCCACGTCATGCTGGCCCTGCCACTTCCCGTACTTCACCACTCCGAACTGACCAGTGCCCAGCTCTTTGATGAAGGTGAGGCAATGTGGTTCGATCTCCCACACACCTGGAGCAAACAAGGGAGAAGAGAGTTTATACCTGACGCATCTGCAAAAAAATAGATTCTCTTTTAACATATAAGTTATCATGCTTTTATTTGTAACTGCAAGAAAGAGTACATCTAAAAAAATGCTCCTTTAACTAGAATGGCACTTAGAGCAGCCCCCTTATGAAACTACATTTTAATTCACTAGATCCAGATGCACACTCATAAATAATAGTCCTCTACATCAAGATCCATTAATTATGCTCTGAGAAATCAATGAAAATGTTGAAAAATGCAATATTAAAGAAGGTGAAAACTAAAATTCCTGGATTTGCAAATACTCTGGATACATTTGTGGTGATCCACCCAGTATTTTTTATGTAATATTGCTAAATACCAAACAAACTGATGAAAATATAACCTCCTCTGTCAGAGGGGACAATGTAACTTTTACTTTTGGTGTCCTGAACTGTCACTAACATCCTTTTAACGTATGCAGCATTTACAGTGTATGCTCTCAGAGGATTGGTGGTTTATTCATTGCAAACACACAGAATCTGTTTTAAGGTTCATTTCCAGAAATTATGATGAATAATTGAATAATCTGTCTGTAGTCCAAGTTTTTACAGTCGTACTCTCACCATAGCCAAGCCCTGCTGTGGATGGAAGCCAGGTCCGGTTAGCCACGATGTATTTCAGCCTGCTCACCATTCCTAACAAGGAGACGACAAAACCACACAGTTACCTGTGACGTCAGGGTATCTGATGGATAGACTTTGACAGTGTAATTATTCTCAATAAAACTGATGTAAATAAGAATATTTTCTTTTCTATGAGCCATATGTTCCGAGGTACTGCATCAACCTGCTGCATTGTGTTGGTGGTAGTTGATGAGCTCTGGGATGGTGCTGAAGAAATGCTTCTCTGCCAGATAAAACTGGCCCTGTGCCGTGGTGCAGATGTTATAATGTCTGCAGCTTCCACCTGTTTCACTGTGGAGAGAAAAAAGATGAGAAACTTTTAAAGACGATTTTGTCAACTGGGTTTTCATTGACACTGGAATCGTACATGCATGAGTGGATAATATCTCCTCAGTGCAGTTCAGTGTTTGAGCTCTGCGATGGAAATGCTCTGCAGGCAGATTAGTCCATGATTTGCATGAAACATTTACATCTCTCCCTCCGTCTGTTTCCGCTTTCATTACAAACAGTTCTTCTTTTCACATGTTCACACTTGAGTGCAGCCAGTGGGTACCATATACTCTGTAAATGATGCCATGTGTTATAACACCACTGGGCATGTACTCACCCACCACCCTTGCTGAACAAAGACACAGTGTATTTCCCAGCCTTGCTTGAGTCCCGTACCAAGAAACCTCCATCTTTATTCTGTTGGGGAGGGGGGCATTTATTTACATATAAGAATTTATTTCACACCTGTTAAATTCAATGTAGTCCAGCTACACTGTGAATGTAATACCTCAGTCTTTAACAGCTTTTCTGCCTGGCTGCGGTTCATATTCTTGCAATACCAGCTGTGAAAATACATATGAAAGTCATTTTTCCGGAGAACGGCTTTTTTTTGCTTCATCCATTGCTTCAGAAGTCAAGAATATATTTATGCACAAACAAGAACTTTGACATTTTCCAACATAAAATGAATAATTTGTATATTAAAAACATTATTTACAATTATAGCCATACTCACTCAAATCGTTCTAACCCACTTTTTGCTTCCACGACAAAGTTACTAGGTATGTATCCTTCTTTGCTGCAAAATAAAGCACAACACATTGTAGATACAAACATTGTCTACAAACATGCAAATCAACTCAACTTGTAAACTTTAGCGC